GTGATATTTTTTCATCTTTTTATATAGCTTGTAAATTTCTAAAGAATTTCCAAAAAAATGTTGGGCACGCCCACTCCAACGCTCACAAGCCGCCCAACTTTTGAAAAATATTGTCATACATATTTTTTTACGTTTTTATATATCTTGTAAATTTCCATAGATTTGCCAAAAAACTTTTTGACAAGACGCCTAAAATGGTCACGCACACACTTTTAAAAAATTTTGAAATTTTTTTGATTTTATAATTATTTCCAGAAAATGTTGAAATTTCTCGCTTGCACTTCCACTAGCTCAGTAACGGGTATCTGATAGTCGGGGAACTCGACTATATCATTCTATCTTATTTCAATATTCTTTTATAATTTTAAAACAAACTCAAAAACCCCTTGTTCCAAATAGTATTAGTGTAGTAATAAAAACGAAATAAATAAAACTTTAAAAATACAACGAAGTTTGTATAATTGATTATAATAAAACTATTTTAGGATATATTCTTTTGATCCAAATTATTTTCATAAATTTCATGTCTGCGGCTACAAAAAAGATTTGGTAATATTTAATTTTTTAAAATAAAAGACTATTAATTTATTAAAATAAAAGAAAATCAATAAATCATAAAAACAAATAATTAATAAATAAATTAATTAATAATAAATTAATAAATATGTATGATAAATAATAAAAGAATATAATAATCAAACATATATGTATACATTATATAATATATTCTACGATTAACGGGTATAAGAAACAGGAGGGAACCGCTATATTCAAGTGCCCCGACTGTTACTTGTAACCTTTTTAAAGAAGTTGCCACAAAATGCCACAAAATGCCACAAAATATGACTGATTAATAGTCTCACTCTCTCTTAATAAAGAGGGTTTGCAAGATTTTTTAATGAGTTTGGTCGGATCGTCTTAATCGATCAATGTTTATTTAGGAGAAGAAGGTAAGTAATATCTTCATTCCGTTGTTATGGGATGTTCCCTGATGAGCAACGCATCAGGAAATTTAGAACAGGCTTTATTGCCACTATGGGAGTGCCCAAAACCAGACCCTGAGATAAACTAAGACTTGCACTCTCTTAATTCTCGTGTGTTTTCTCAGGTTGAACCAGTCTCTGTGAGAGAACCGCTGATAAGCCGTAACTTAGAGCTCGATCGCTTGCCAGTTTCCAGCCACATTCAGTGTGTTCTCGGCAGGCGCCCTGTCAACGGATCGACTTCCAAGTACAGTGCTATAGAAGTGGCCAAGATATCATCATGGAACCGCAGTTCCTTCTCACCGTTCTGGGGATTTTTTTGATGCGGTTAACCAGCACTTACGCACAAGGCAAGTGGTTCAGGCTCTCAGTCGCAGTCGAGGATTGCTTGTATCAAAGCACAAAGCAATCCGCCTATCAGCAGTGAACTTCACCCCGCAGAGTCGAGGCGAGGCTGGTTGAGTCGATGACAGCCACAATGGGCTGGTCCCAGAACGCAGAAATCCCGTCTCCGCTGTTAATCACGACTATCATTAATCGTTTGTTTTGTACGTTTCGTTTTTAGAAATCTTTGGGTATTGTACAACGCCTGATGAGAACAGCGGCACCTGCATCAACCTCAGGGAATGCGGATACCTTTTCGAACTGCTGCAAAGCGAAGAGGTTACGGACCAGGACCGTCGATTTCTGCGAACCAGCCAATGTGGCTACCGCAATGGACAAGTGCTTGTTAGTGCACTCTTAAAAAGTTGCGGTGCTAAGAAAATTTTTATCGCCGATGAGAACGCGTTTTCGATCCATTTAACATATATATACATCATTTCTTTTGCTCATGGCATCGCACGCTTTTCAGATCAATGTAGCATACATATACAAAATTTCTTTATCGTGCGATGCCACGATGCATTCTTTTTCAATGCATTCAACCACACCTAAATTTAGGAACGAGCATTTTTGTTTTACCATTATTCAGATTTGCTGTGCAAACAACAGAATGCGTAACCAAAAACCTCAGTGGGGAAATCAGCCGCAAGTCAGGCCGACTCAGACCACTAAGCCTACAAAGCGCCCCGGAAACAACCTGCTACCAATGGCGCCCAATTGCGGGGATAACTTTGAATACCGCATCGTGGGTGGAAAGGAGACGGGAAAGAGAGAGTTTCCTTGGATGGCCCTAATAGAATACACTAAGCGTGAGTAACCGACATCTTCCCTGCTGCAGAGACTGATCCTCCCTCTCACCAGCCGGCAACGTGAAGGGCCACCACTGTGGCGGATCTTTAATCAACAATCGTTACGTGCTGACGGCGGCGCACTGCGTCTCGGCTATTCCCACTGACTGGCAGCTGACGGGAGTACGCCTGGGTGAGTGGGATGCGAGCACCAATCCGGATTGCACAGTCGGCAAAAACGGGCTGCGGGACTGCAACGAACCCTACGTGGACTACCCTGTTGTGGAGCGAATTCCGCACCCGCAGTACCCGGGAAACTCTCGTGACCAGTTAAACGACATAGCGTTGCTGCGCTTGCGGGACGAGGTTCAGTACAGCGACTTTATATCACCAGTATGTTTGCCCACCTTAGCGTCACATCACAACAATATTTTTCTTGATCGAAAAGTGGTGGTGGCAGGGTGGGGTCGCACGGAGACGAACTTTACGTCCAATATCAAGCTGAAGGCAGAGTTGAATCCGGTACCGACGTCCGACTGCAACCAACGATACGCCAGCCAACGAAGGACTCTCACCACCAAACAGATGTGCGCCGGCGGAGTGGAAGGTGTTGACTCCTGCCGCGGGGACTCGGGTGGCCCCCTTCTGCTCGAGGACTATTCGAATGGATTCTCGAACTTCTACATTGCTGGTGTGGTCTCCTACGGACCCACGCCCTGTGGACTGAAAGGATGGCCTGGCGTGTACACGAGGGTTGAGGCGTATCTGGACTGGATAGAAAACAACGTTAGGGCCTAATCGTAAATGACGTAAATGACCATTATACGTAAATGCTACAGCATATATCGATTTTTAATGAAAGGTAGATTATACAATAAATTAAGTTATCCTGTGTAGATACAACGGTAAAACGCGTAGAGTTCAACACTTCTACAATTGGGGTACTGTACACTTATAATATAAAAACTCAATTTAAGTTTCTGAAGATTATTTTGGTTTCTACAATTAAACGACGAGTTGCCTTTTATTGTTTTGAAAAGGTCTGCCAGTCGGAATCACTTTCCAATAATTCCAAATCTAAATGCAATACCCATAGCAGTCGTGTTAAGATCGCAGCGAGGCCAGGCGGCTCTGCATCTCTTGCAGTTCCTCACCCTCCTCATCATCCTGCTCAACCTCGACGGCGGAAGCAGACGCAGATGCCTTGTCCGCCGGTGTATTCTCTGGGGGCAGGGGAGCTTCCCCAAGCTTGCCATCTGTGATCTCCCACAAAACCTTGTCCACCTCCTTGCCTGCCTCCTCCTCCAGCTCCTCAGACTCCTCCAGCGAGTCCATGGTCTCGTCCAGCATCTCCTCAATGATGCCGGCCTTCATCATTTCCTTTGACATGTCGCGCATTATGCCTGCAAGCTCTGGATAGCGCACCAGGCTCTGCATGGCCTGCATGACCTCTGTAGACTTCTGCAGAGAACCAGCTACCCGCAAGGTGGCTACAAGAGGATTCGATAGTCAGGTCGTGTCAAAGAAGCGATAAGTTCACTCACATAGCTGATTTTTCATCTGCATCTGAATGGAGTTGAGGTGTGCCTTCGACGTGTATATGCGGTTGATGGCCTTGCGCGCGTTCACAATCTCCTTAGCAAGAATGACGCAGGTGTCGCGATCATTTTTTTGGGCTGCTTGTTTTAGAGAGCGTTTTACCTTCTCCTCCTCGCGCTGTATACTTCGGATCTGACGATCCAGCTGGTTGCCCTCCTTTCGAATCTTGTGCGTCCACTCCTGCACCTAAATTTACAGAGCATAACAATACGCAGTGGGCAAACATTGCCTGACAAAATCAAACCAACTGGAATGACATCATTCCCCAACAAAATCTCTTCCACGCCTCTGAGTCGTTACCTGCTCTTTGGGATCTTTACTGGGGGTTTTGCCGAATAAGCCCATTGCACTAGTCGTTTGGATAATTGTCTGGAGTTGATGTTATTAAAACAAGTTTTTTGTTACAAAATACAAGTGAGTCATTTTATTTTGATTCTGACAAACAATCCACAGCGTTGCCAATTGTTTGTTGCGTGCATAGCAAAACATCGATAGATCGATATGTTTGAATACAAATTATATATTTCGTGAATTTTTTCCAATATATTAGCTTTAATAATTGCTCAATATGACATTAATCTGCCGATTATTAAATAAAATATTATTTGCTTAGTGCTGATTGTTTTTCATCTTATCGAATATAATATCGAATATATCAAAAGTTATTTCTATATTATCATGCTGATTCTTTTTTAAATAAAAATATTATTGGAACAATATTATTTTAGAACTATTTAGCACTATCTAGTAAGGTTATCTACAAGATACAGCAAGCATCTACAGCGGAGGAAAGCAATATCTTGCAATGTCAATCCCCGTCAAAGGCCATTGTAGTTTCAATTTCTAATGTTTTATTTTAAAAATACTTGTCCTTTTGCGTATCCGATATTTGAGATCAGTGGTGAACAAAATCAATTTTGAGATACATCAAATTTTAATTATTTTTTATTTTATTTTTTTTTTTATTAATTTTATTTTATTTTTTAAGTTTTTTCTTAAATTAATTTGTGCACAAAGATTTCCATAACGAAATGCTACTCGTTTAAAGAATGCCCGCAAACCTATCACAAAATCCATTGATACGGCAACGCTATTCTGTAGGAAGACCATCGTCAGCCGTACAATCAGATGTAGATCAGCTGTTTGTACCTCTCTGTTATATCAGAGTTAGCAACGTGCGTGCGCAAATTCAATTTACGCGAATTGTTGAATTAAAACCACGCTTGTCCCACTGAAGTGGATAACCATGCAAAACTGCAGGCGCTGCATCAGCCTAACGGGCCTCTTGCGGCTGCCACTCTACCTGCGTCCGTTATTTTCAATTGAATTGTCCCTGCGACGACTACACCGCCCGGCCTTTTTATCTTCTCGAAAAAGGCCGGAGATGAACTTGTCTGCGCTGTTCAAGCCAGTACAGGTGCAGGCTAATACGGATGTGGACGATGTGGGTTCCGAGCTGTCCGGCAAATTGGAAAAGGCCGAGCTGCTGAAGGTTCTCAACAAGTTCACCCAACGCCGGGAAATCAAGTCGCTTTGCAGCGAAAACGGACTGGACGGTACGTATGCATCTGTTTTCTATGGCGCCCTCATCTTACTTTGCATCCGTTCCAAGCCTATCTACAGCAACAGGCCTTTGGTTCATTCCGAAGATACTGCATCGAGGCAGAAAACCTTCCAGTAGATCTGCACATAACCTTTAGCGATATAACACAAGGAGCGGGTCACATCGATGACATCTTCCCGTACTTCCTACGACACGCAAAGACAGTATTTCCGCACCTGGACTGCATGGACGATCTGAAAAAGATTTCCGACCTGAGGCAGCCCGCCAACTGGTACAGCAACGCCCGCGCCATCACCCGGAAGATTGTTTTTCATGCGGGACCGACGAACTCCGGAAAGACCTACCATGCCATGGAGAGATACCTAAGTGCGAAGTCTGGGGTCTACTGCGGACCCCTAAAGCTTTTAGCCACGGAGGTGTACAACAAGGCCAATGAACGCGGCACCCCCTGCGATCTCGTGACAGGCGAAGAGCGCAAGTTCGGCATCAGCGAAGGGTCGCCAGCCAATCACGTCGCGTGCACAGTGGAAATGACCTCGGTTAACACTCCATGTAAGCGAGTCGAGTCCTTTCCCCTTTCGTCAAGTTTTAATATGTGTTAATTTGTCTGTTTCAGATGAGGTGGCTGTAATCGATGAAATACAACAGATCCGCGACCCCCAGAGAGGATGGGCTTGGACGCGGGCCTTCCTCGGACTGATCGCGGATGAAGTGCATGTTTGTGGTGAGCCAGGCGCCTTGAATCTTCTGCAGAAAATTTGCGAAACCACTGGCGAAACTGTTGAAGTGCGGCGGTACGATCGGCTTACGGAGCTGACTGTCGAAAATACTGCTTTAGGATCATTGGACAATGTAGTTTCTGGCGACTGCATCGTGTGCTTCAGCAAACATGATATATATACGGTTTCGCGAGAAATCGAAGCACGGTCAGTATTGTTCAGTCCCTGTTTCCAACTGATCCCTGACCCAATTTTTTTTAGGGGGAAGGAGGTAGCAGTAATATATGGTGGCCTGCCCCCAGGTACTAAGCTAGCCCAGGCGGCTAAGTTCAATGATCCAACCAATAGCTGCAAGGTAATGGTGGCGACTGACGCCATAGGTATGGGCTTGAACCTGTAAGTGAATTATTCCACATATGTGGCTTGTCCAAATTTAATGCGTGCGAAATTTACTTGCAGGAGCATTCGTCGAATCATATTCTACTCACTGATTAAGCCGTCGATGAATGAGCGAGGGGAGCGCGAGATCGACACAATATCGGTTTCGTCCGCACTTCAGATTGCGGGAAGAGCAGGCCGGTTCCGTACTCAGTGGGAACACGGATATGTAACTGCATTCAAGACCGAGGACTTGCAGACCCTACAGCAAATATTGGCTCAGACACCTGAGCCGTTAAAACAGGCGGGCTTGCATCCCACGGCCGATCAGATTGAGCTCTACGCCTACCACCTGCCAAGCTCGTCTTTGAGCAACCTAATGGACATATTCGTGAATCTGTGCACTGTCGATGATTCTCTATACTTTATGTGCAACATCGAAGACTTTAAGTTCTTGGCCGAGATGATACAACATGTTCCTCTGCCCCTACGGGCTCGCTATGTATTCTGCTGTGCACCTATCAATCGCAAGATGCCGTTTGTTTGCTCAATGTTCCTTAAGGTAGCACGGCAATACAGCCGCAACGAACCTATTACCTTTGATTTTATAAAAAAAAACTGTGGCTGGCCGTTCAAGCTACCTAAGACGATATTAGACCTGGTTCATCTTGAGGCCGTCTTTGACGTGATGGATCTGTATCTTTGGCTAAGGCAAGTCTTGCACTAGTGCGCGATAGAAAAAAACTAATCGGACTTGTTTTGCAGCTATCGGTTTATGGATCTTTTCCCCGAAGCGGCCTACGTAAGAGATGCCCAAAAGGAACTGGACGAGATTATACAGCAGGGCGTCTTCCAAATAACTCGGTTGCTTAAGAATACTGAGGCCAGTCAGGACGGAGAGACTTCAAGCTATCTAATGCGCCGAATAACGCACATGAAGGAACCTCGACTACCCAGCTCGTCGCGCGGACGTCTCACCGAAAGGTTGCTTGCGCAGGGTCTTCTTACCCCAGGCATGCTCAACGAGCTACGCAAGGAATGGGACGCCCAGCAAGTTGGCAATTCCAATTCGCAATCTAATGAGATGTCGGAACCAGTTGTGAATAGTGACGACGAGGATAATTTCTCAGGAATCGGGCGAAAAACAAGGAAAAAACGCAGAAAGTAACGTGTCAGCTCAAGATTAGTTAGGTTACAAAATAAGTAGGTAAGGAATGGATTTGTTTACATAATATAATTTTATTTTAAGTGGCAATTAAGTAATATTAAAATTATTCATTTGATAATTAACAATGACAATTTAATTGTTTAAATTTAAGAGTTTAAATATGTTATCTGTCTCAGAAAAAGAATCACTTTGTTTTCTTCCAATTTATGGAGGGAGATTATACGCAGAGACTTAAACACCTGACAATAATGACGCGCTTTGAGTCAAGGCTAACCGCCGTTGTACTATTGAATTTAGAAATGTATAATACCGACATTAACGATTTCGATTAGTTGATTAGATTTAGCATCGCTCTCCTTCCCTAATGAGAGTTTATATATGGCCTTTTAGTAACAAGGAACACACATTCATTCGAATTGCGGTTATAAAATATTCGACACTTAAAACATACAGATTTTTAAAATATAAATACTATCAATTGCAAAATACTCTCCTATTATTTAACATACAAATTAATATTACGTTGGATGCGCATGGCAATACCTTAATAGTTTAGCTTTTTTAGGTTTCGAATTAATTTGAGTTTAAAAACAAATTGTTTAAATATTTATTAAAGCTTTAAGTTTTCTTCTTTTATAAGTTAAAGTTATGTAATTCATGCTCTTCAATGCAAAACCAAAGTGCTCTCATTTCATTCGTCCTTGAAAAATCCAGCTGCAATGACTATCAACGATCCTCTGATTCTTCAGCGGAGGACCTAAATATGTGTTCTTTAGTCCGATCCTTAAATAGAAATAAAGCTCTAATAAAATCCCCTTTCTTGCCCCACACGCGATTTAGCATGCTTGCATTCGCAGATTTCCTAATATTTTTGCCAACATTTTTCCAACTTGTCTTCTTATGTAGAAGATGTATTTGTGCGTTTAAATTCTAAGGTACCGATACTTTTGTCTTTCTTTGAATATCAAAACTGGAACATGCGCATGGCTCTTGTTCAAAAAAACAAGAGTTACATATGTATGTAGGTTTGTTAAGGTATGTAAATTGCAGGTTTGATGTATATATGTACTTATGCAATGGCTACAAATGTTCAAATGTGTTTTCGGTTTTCATATTTTGGTAATAAAAAAGTGCTAGTCTCAACAGACTTTGGGCAGCCTATGCCTGGCTTAATATTTAAATATAAGATGCAGAAAGGTAAATTACAAAAATTCGTCACTCATCCGTAGATTGTACAGATGCACAAATGTGCACTCAAAATCTTAAATACGCTCTTTTCGGCCCTTTGGTATTTCATATAGTATTCTTTATCACAAACAATCATAAAATTCAAATTTCGAGTAGTTATTTATGTACTGGTATGCACTCTACGTGTCAGTGCGTATAAAATTTGAATATTCTAGGTTAATCCTTTTCATTTTTTTATATTTCATACATTTTATGAACAAAATGTGTGCCAAATTGATTTCAAATTACAAATATTTTTTTGCCCAGTCTGGGCTAGATTGTTCGGATGACCCTACCGACTAAGAAGTTGGTCTCATCCCGGGCCAAGCACTCGTCAACGGCAGCCGTCATTTGGCATCGACCCTTGTAAAAACAAATCACAAACACCGAACTCTGCTTTAGACAAAGTCCAGCTCCAGGCCTGGCTCAATATCAAGTGCGACCGCGTTGTCAGCATGGAATTGAGCTCCGTCCTTCTCCAGGCGCGACTCCTTGGAGTCCTTATCGCGGGACCGGTCCTTGAATGCAGCGAGACCCAGCTTTCGGAGGGCCTTTCCGCTGCGTCCGGAGGACTGGCCCAGCTGCTCGAATCAGGAGTCCACCAGCACGTGCCAACGCGCCAGCATCTCGCCCTTAGGCATCTCACAAACGTCTGCCCAATGGGCCACTTCCTCCGATCCGGACGAATTCAGCCCCAGGCTGAACCAGCCGACCATCTCGTTCTTCTTCATGTGCCGCTTTGCGTACACGGAGATCATCAGAGTTACATCGTTGAGCTGGAACAGGGCCACCTGAAAGGCGAATGTCTCCTTAAATAGTGGGTTGGGCTGACCTCTGCGGATTGACGTTTTGGCCCGGGAGATCTCTTGTCCGATGCTGCTGACCATAACCATTTTAACGTACGTGTCGGGCGCCTTGTTCAGCGACAAGCTACGGAACTGGCTGCCCTTAATAATCTCCACGCTCAGCCGCCCGGTGACCCCGTTGTAGCTCAAGCCCAGCAGCAACTCGGAGACGCCCCCGTGCTGCATGGACGAGGTGGAGCCTGCGCTTTCTGACCGAGCCAGGCTCAACAGATCGCTGGTAGAACCCAGGCCCGAAGAGGTGTTGCGGGGCTCCAGTGGCAGCCATAGGTTCGTCTCCAGCTCAAGGTCTACAGTGGCGAAGCTCACATACGCCTCCCCAATCAGGCGTTCCTTACGCAGTCGCTCGCAGCCGTAAAGCCGCACACGCAGCCCCATGTTGTTCACATCTTCTGGGTTAACGCGGTGCAGCAGGAAGCTCTCCATATACTGTGGGACTTCACCGCTGCGGATCTTGGTTTTGAGTTTCTGCTTCTTGCTCGGCAGCATCAACATCCGGACCTGCGTATGGGTTGTCTGCCCACTACCCAGGGGCGGAAGATTTTTGGCCTGCATCACGTGCACCGTCATTTTCCGCATCGGGGCGTCGTACAGCAGCGACAGCTCAAGCTCGATGGGACCTCTTTGGACGGGCGACTCCTTCTGGTCCACCCCCACCAGTAGGTCATCCGACTTGATCGAACGCAAGTCGCTGGTGTCAAACAGGGGTTCCTGGAAGAGGCAAAGTTTTGTGTATTAGAAAAAGTTATAAGGGAAAACTTCAAAACCACATTACAAAACAATTATAAATGTTATAATTGAGTGCCTCGACTAGCAAGTACCCATTACTGAGCAAAATGTTTTTATAATAAAGAAGCCTGCAGCTATAGATAGTTTTCCGAATATCAGTATACTTTCTCCTAAGCCATATTATTTTTCAAAGATATATACAACACCCTAACGATTTTAAAACACATAACAGATTTTTGTGTATTAGAAAAAGTTATAGAGGAAAACCCCGATACCACATTACAAAACAATGATAAATGCTACAATTGAGTGCCTCGACTATCAAGTACCCCTTACCGAGAAAAAAGATTTTATAATGCAGCTATAAATAGTTTTCGGAATATCAATATACTTTCTCCTAAGCCATATTATTTTTCAAAGATACAATACAACACCCTAATGATTTTAAAACACAAATTAACAGATTTTTGTGTATTAGAAAAAGTTATTAGGGAAATCCCCAAAACCACATTACAAAACAGTGATAAATGCTATAAACGAATGCCTCAACTGTCAAGTACCCATTACCGAGCAAAAAGATTTTATAATGCAGCTATAAATAGTTTTCGGAATATCAATATACTTTCTCCTATGCCATATTATTTTTCAAAGATAATGATTTTAAAACACATAATTAACAGATTTTGAACTTGTCAAGCAAAGAAAAATTGTTAACGGACTACACTACGTTTGTTGAGTAAATCTTTCGAATCCGACCAAAAGTTCAATACCTTTCCGGGAAGGGCATACCTTTTTAAAGAAAGAGATTTTCGTAGCACCTTGTATCGAGTTAAACTTACGTCATCGTTGTTGTTGCTGCTGGGATTGTTATTGCTGGTCGTAATCGAGTTGTTGTTATTAATGCTGTAGTCATTAACCAGCACGTTGTCCCTTTCCTTGTCCAGCTTGGGCGGAGCAGCCACGTCGACCCGGTGCTGATACCTCAGAGCCTGGGTTTTAACCCGGTGTTCTGCACACGGATTGCGGAAGGCTGTCGCCGGGTGAGGGACTGTGGTTGTGGCTGTCAAAAGGTCATGACTCATTGCATCGGCTGTCAATTAGCTGGCCCTGACCCCGCCATGCTTACCTTTGCTCAGGCCCGTCAGGAAGCCTATATGACTATCCACGGAGACCTCCATAGAGTCGTTCGAGCTGCACTCACTGTGCGACGACGGGATTCCAACTTTGCCACGCTCAGCAATGGCCAACGGGTCACCCGTCACCGTCACCCGCTGCAGGTCGGCACCGACGCCTGCCTGGTGGTAGCTGAAGCTCTGTGCCGTCAGCGGATTATCTTGGCTGATTCCCAGCCCGTATCCGCCAGGCTTCTCGCCCAGCTGGTGCTGTTGGTGCCACCGCAGGCGCCGCAAGATGTCCTCCTCCGAGTCGGAGCTGGTGTTCTCGTAACGTCTCTTTCGCGCTGCAATGACAGTTAAATGTTAGCCAGTCAGCTCCAATACCCACCAACACGGTACTCACTGATTTTCTGCACGCACTTGACTGCCAGGTGGCGCTCGTCACAGCAGTTGATGGCATGGCGGTAGTGAAAGCAGCACTTGCGACTGATGAAGAGAAACAACAGGAGCAGTAGAACGAGGACGCCGAAAAAGGCGCCCAGCAGCGTGGTCACCTCGACGGTGCCTGAAGGATTCAATAGTCACGGTTGGTCCGGCTCAGGTCCCAATAGGGTGGATTGTGTGGTGCATATACGTACCGAGCGTCGGAGTGCTATCCAGTCCAGAAGCGGAGGTAACAATCATCTTGGCTCATGCGAGGATCCTGGCGAACACGAGTCTACTACTCGCAATTCATGTCAATTCACGTCAAGTCACTCAAAATTATTCTCAATGCAGAAGGATAGCAAAAGCTCGGGAATTTGACAGCACAAACTCGCAGGATAACTGGAATCGATTTTTCACAGGACAACGACTAGGGATCAAGGCAATGGAGTCGATTGGAAGGTAGTGCATTCTGAATTACCCGTTTTGGTGGCCCTTGCGTTTTTCGCAACTGTTGATTAGAGATTTGGTTGTAAAATAGTGAAATAAATTATAGAAGGAACAATTACACTATTCTATTCTATTAATCACTTCAGATTTCTCGAAGGCGCGATCCCAATACTGCGAATCAGGCAAGGGGAGATTCGTAAATAAAAATTAAACTCCCCGGATTTTATTTAACTGCGTTAGGATGAGCTGCCTTAAACTCGAGGGAAAAACTGCCTCGAAGCAAGCACTTTGGAGCTTAATCCCTCCACCCCCAGTGTGTGTACATACTGGTCTCGGAAAAGCTCCGTTTTGACAGTTGCATCGCAGTAACAACTGTTGCATATTGTTTTGTGTTTGGGGAGGATGGTTCCAAGCTGATAACTGAGAAACGGAAATCTTTTTTATTATGATATTTTATAAGCATTGTTTAGAACGTCTGTATTCTCTTTTTGTTGTATGCATCTGATGGCTTAAATGTTAGCCATACCCAAAGTTTCAATAAATGTTACGCTGTTAGGACCGTTTGTATATTATTGAAGTTCAAGAATGTGAAAAAAATGAAAACAGCGGAATTTGTACATCAGCATCAATACATGTACGCTCCTTTACCGTAATTGTTTTATGTTACACAGAGCTTTTCGTCTGTTTAAAAAATAGCCTTGTAATTTTTCTTAATTATACCCGTTACTCGTAGAGTACTTTTCATTGAAAAGTATGTAACAGGCAGAAGGAAACGTTTCCGACCATATGAAATATATATATTCTTGATCAGGATCAATAGCCGAGTCGATCTGGTCCTGTCCATCCGTCTGGCCGTATAAACGCCTCGATCTCAGAAACTACAAAAGCTAGAATATTGGGATTACGCATGCAGCTTCCAGAGACATAGACCCAGCGCAAGTTTGTTTCCAAATGTTGCCACGCCCACTCTAGCACCTACAAACAGCGCAAAACTGTCGCGCCCACACTTTTGAAAAATGTTGTGATATATCTTGAAAGTTTCTATAGATTTGCCAAAAAACTTTTTGCCATGCCCACTCCAACGCCCACAAGCCGCCCATAACTGCCACGGCCACAGTTTTAAAAAAATTTTAAGTTATTTTTCATTATATTAATTTTTTCCCAATTTGTACCGATATTCCAGAAAATTTTGGGATTTCTCGTTTGCACTTCCACTAGCTGTGTAACGAGTATCTGATATTCGGGGAGCTCGACTATAGCATTATATCTTGTTTTTAGATTTGCTCATACTCACATGAAACGCACTGTTATTCGATAGCAGATAACAGTAGTAAACAGCAGACATCGATAATCGCTAGTTCGGCGAAAGTCATCGGTTTAAAGGAACATCGCAGATTGCCCACCTCTAAATTAAATGCTCAATGAATAGACTCTGCTTCGTTGTGCGGTTAATTATCGGTTGCTGTTCAAACTGCATGTTTCCGTCCGCTCGAGCCGCGTATGCTAAGCCTTGACCGCGCCCACGCGCTGCCTGAAAGTCTAATACACTTAATACGCGAACGTGACGCAAGTGAATTTTGAATGGCCAATCCCACTGGGCAAGTGTGAGTGCCAAATTGGGATGCTTCTGATAAAATGATTTGCGCTAAAACGCCGAATAGAGTGCTTAGTGCCCCCCACAAAGCAGAATTTGCGGAGCAATAAATGGATACCACATCCTTGGCGGCGATCACTCTGTGTCTTTGAGCCTGGATGAGCTAGCAGGGGGAATAAAGCCAATCTACGACGTCATCTTACATCGTTTCGCTTTTCATTTCGCAGCAGTCACTCGCACACAATGAAAATCCAAAGGAGGTTGGGGGTGGGGGCATTCGAAAACTCGATAGGTATCTTTTCCACATCAAGAGCCCAGACAAGAGTTGAGCGCGTGTCAAAACTTTTTGACACGACCAGCACGAATGCGAAACGCAAAGTTCAATTTAAAACACGAAACGAACACGCACGACAAACAAATATATATAATATTATATTCGGTTTAATTATTATCAGAAGTCATTGTTTAAAAATAAAAGTTTGCCTATCCTTGAACCTAACAACCAAGAAGTTTTTCCCCAATGTAGAAAAAATCCTTGCTTAGATAATGATCGGAATGTTTCAAATATTTTGTTCAAGTTCTTCTTCAAGAGCTGGACGAGATCAATGGCGTGGGAATCCCACCTGCAGATGATTGGATTTTTACAATAACTATTAATGTTATTTCCAGGTCTTTTGAGTTTTGAAACTAGTATTCAACTTTCAAATCAAGTTAATTTCTGCCAAGCCTAATCTTTCTATACCCTTGCAGAGGGTATATAAATTTCAGTGAGAAGTTTGCCACGCAGTGAAGGATACATTTGAGAACATATCGAGTAATCCTAATCAAAATTAACACCGAGTCAATAAAGCCATGTCCATTTGTCCGTCCGCTTGTACGTAAACTCGTCGTCTCCCAATTTTAAAGCTATTTGCATGAAACTATCCCAAAACTCAATCTATTGCGGGTTGTCATACAAGTATGCCGGAATGGTAATCGAAAGATAAATAGACCGAAATGTGCCAAAACACCAGTTCCTTGACAACATACAATTTGTGCTTTATTTTAATAAAAATATGACGACTGTGATAAGTCGTCGTAGGCTGCAGGCGCTACTAATAATTGAAAATATTATTCACATAAAAGAAATTTGCAAAAGTGAAAAGGCAACAATAACAACAATGACATGAAGTAAATAAAAACAAATGTTGATAAACTGCCAACACCAACACATCGTATTGGTCGTGCGTGTTTCGTTTTACAAAATAGAATATAACACGCAGACAACTCTATCCCAGACGAAAATCGAAAACTAGTCTCTGCGACTAAGTCCTCCGAAATCCACAGTCATCTAGTTGAGCGAAAACTTTTCTAATGGATTTCTAAACTTGAATTTTCTTCCATTTCTTAGTACAGGCCGCTTAGAACAGGCTCACAAGTAAAATGTAAAATCGATAGATATGTAGACTCAGGAATTATTCAACCCTATTTTTCACATGCCTAAATGAACAAAACTTTCATCTTGCCTAACACCATAATTGCATCACATTAATTAACATTGATTTGCAAGCTTTAAAGTAATTTGTACATACATTATATGTGAGCGATCAATTTACTTATGTTTGGAGTCCGAGAAACGAGTGTCCGAGTGCTCTTTGGTCGGGTCAACAAACCAAGCGACTTTCATGCCGTGTGCATTTAGTCATTGATAGCGGGATGGAGCGGCTTGGCCCATAATATCGCCATTGCCAATGGATACCATTGACAACTCCGCTTCGCTTTATAGGGATCATTAATAGTTATTAAATGGAAAGGTCAATAGACACAGGCGTGAAACCGGTTTGGTTTGGCGGCTTCATTTTCGGTGAACCTGACACGTTGGAATTGAGTGGCTGCCAAAATACATATCTTTTATTTAAGTGATATGCCTTCACTTGCAGCATGTATCTTTGCTGGCATTCCACCAACACCAAAAAACTTGGCCCAAAAGCGGTCACTGTTTCTTTTATTTTTATACTTGGATGACGCTCACCTTGGTGGCCAGATTTCAGAGTTCAGTGCCAATGTCGTTCTCATTCAGTTAAAGTGGGATTGGTATCACTGACGCCCATAGGCAGTTACATTTATCTTGGGGCGTAATTCAACGTTGCGCTCAAGGTACGCAGAGATTAGATCAATGCTACCATCTTTTTTCATCCAGATGTTACGTAGGAATAGCAACAACGTTTACAACTGGCAATTAGGTTTTTAAGTTCAACAATAGTTGAACAATAGTATTGTACATTTTTAAACTTCATTGATATTGCGTTAATGTCGATTACATTACATTTAAATAACGCGGATTTAGTTCGGTTATTTCCAAAAAAGATTTTAGAATTTGGGGTCACCGATATTATTATTTGTTATTATTTGAGAACGCGTCTAAATTAATTTGTAGATCAATAAAAGAATTCCCATATGTTAAGACTACGCTTGTTTATTGTTTGTCAATAAATAATATGGCATTGCCATAATAATAAAATGGCATTGCAGTTAGTGCAACCACCACAAAGCTTCAGACGGAGCTCGTGCAAGGGATAGTAGAAATGTGACGTGTGTTTTCCTTGTTTGCATACGTAACTTGAGGATTTCCCTTGCTGTTTCGCTTCTGTTTATAGGTGCACACTTCAAGTCTTTCGTTGGCTCATTTCTGCAAGCTTCTAGATTTTATGGTCGACTGCGGAATCGCACGAATGAAAAATCTCGTTAAACAATACATAACTCCTTTGTTATACCCGTTACTCGTAGACTAAAAGGGTATACTAGATTCGTTGAAAGGTATATAACAGGCAGAAGCGTTTCCGACCATATAAAGTATATATATTCTTGATCCGGATTCAATGAATTAAGCACGCAGCTGCCATAGACAGACGCAGCGCAAGTTTGTTTCCAAATGGGTCCACGCCCACTATACCGCCCAACACGCCCACACTTTCGAGAAATTAAAAATTTCTTTTTAATTTTTTTTAATCTTTTAATCTTTTTTTTTTTTTGTTTCGCAATTTTTACCGATTTTCCAGAAAATTATGAAATTCTTCGTTCGCACTTCCACTAGCTGAGTAGCGGATATCTGATAGTCGGGAAACTCGACTTAGCATTTTGTTTTGTTTCTATTTCAGAAGCAACGTGAGCGTTTTGCGCGAGGAAATGACTACCACAAACCAGAGGGAGTTGAACACAAATGGAGGAGGCTTGGATTGCCCCGCAGAAGTGACGTCGCTGATTGCTGGCAACAGTTTTTGCTTAACGTCAGGAAACACCGGCGGGATTGGTGTCCAGAAGAAAGCCACTGCTGGAGTGGGTCTGAACAGTACACAAAGAGGTGAGCGAGATCTACATATCTAGTATGCGAAATGTAAGAGCCCTAAACGGTGCTAACGCATTTCTGCGAATATTGAATATTGAATATACATACGTTAATCTAGGTTGTTTATTAAAAATAAGTTTTAGTTTTTCTCAACATCACGCTTTAGGAAGTCCATTTGACACTGTCATTTTAAAACAACTTTGTAGCTTGAAAAGTGAAAAAAGACAAATAGTAAATCAATTAGTACCTGCAATGCCAAGAAACTTCTTAAGTTGTACTAATATTGTTGTTTCTATTAAAATATTGATATGCTTTATTCGCAATTGGTCAAAATAACATTTTGATATAGTAAATACATATTTTATATTGCTTTTGGTTGATCCCTATCAAAATCTTATTGATTTTCAGCCACTATAATTACGAAAATACCTGATCATTTAAATGGTCTGATTTTACGGTCCGTAATCGATTTAATTTTATTTGTTACGAAGCCTTTGTCGAGATTTTTTTATTGAAATAAGATACCTAAACGGTATTTTAGCGGAAACATTTTACACTACGCTCAAATTATATACGGTGGGTGACGTATATACTGTTTGTTTAAATTTATTTTCGGAGTATATTAGGTATATATGTATATTATGTACGCATATTAGGTATAGATCAGATTAAAAAGTTTCTCACAATTTATGTCTATTGTAAATAGTGTGAAACATTACAATTCGATAGAATTTGGCAAGACAAAAAATAAAAGTTTTCAATAGTGTGGGCGTGGCAGTTTCAATCGACAGAAATTGCCAATTTAAATGAAAAAAATTAAGTGTGGGAGTGGCAGATTTGGGTAGTTTGTGAATCAAACTTGCACAGCGTGACCGTCACTATAATCGTCATTCTAATTAAAAAATGTATAGTATTTAAGATCCCGACGTTCATATGGATGGACAAACAGACATGGCTAGATCGACTCGGATAATGATCCTCATGAAGAATATATAACTAAGTAAACATATAATAAAACACGAAAGAATGCTATAGTCGCGTTCCCAGACTTTCAGAGTGCGTACGAGCAATTTTAGCATTTTCTGAAATATCTGTAGCCCCAACTTCTACAGACATATTAGAAAATGTTAAAATATGAACTGTAGGCGAGATAGTTTTGGGCGATTTGTGGTCGTAACAGTGGGCGTGGCAACTTTTTTTTGTGAAATCGATAAAACTTTAAAAGACTAATATAAAAACAAGATAGAATGCTATAGTCGAGTTCCCCGACTATCAGATACCAGTTACTCAGCTAGTGGAAGTTTCCAATTCTAAAATTTTCTGGAATAGCGGTAGAAATTGGGGAAAAAATAATAAATTGAAAAAACTTTTTTTTTTAAGTGTGTGGATGAGAGTTTTGTGCGATTTGGGGGCGTTAGATTTGTGCTTGGCAAAAAGTATTTTCGCAAACTAATAGATATTTACAGGATATATAAAGAAAAAATATCACATTTTTCAAAAGTGTGGGGGTACCAGTTTTGCGCTGATTGTAGGTGTTAGAGTGGGCGTGGCAACATTTGGAAACAAACTTGCGCTGCGTCTAAGTTTCTGGAAGCTGCGCGCTTAATCTCAACATTCTAGCTTTTGTAGTTCCTAAGATCGAGGCGTTTATACGGACAGACGAACGGACAGCAAACGGACATGGCCTGTTCGGCTCCGCTATTGATCCTAATCAATAATACTTTTACTCTGCAAGTAACGGGTATAACAATAAAATATCAAAACAATTTTCCAAAGTGTGGGCGAGGTTTACGGGTTTGGGCGCTTTGGTGGGCATGGCAACATAAGTTAACAAACTTGCACTTCCTAGCTTTTATAGTTTGTGACGTTTATACGGACGACAGGCCATGAATTTATATGGGCGGAAACGCTTCCATCTACCTGTTACATTCTTTTCAACGAATCTGGTATACCCATTTAATCTATGAGTATCGGGTATAATAAATATATAAAAATTCTAGGGTCGGTCACGCTTTAGTTATAGTACATTAGTTTTAGTACTTACGTTTCAAGGAATCCACCATACTTTTAGTGTACAAGGATACCTTTCATTTCAGCGTGTTTGTATGCTGTTCCTCACAATGAATTAGATTCAGGTTTGATCCAGGTTTGTTGCTTCAAATAAGCCCGAATTGAATTATTGATTTTCACGGTAAACAGTTGGAATTGTAGATGAAGCCAGCACAGCTCTAAATGGTTCTGACGGCGATTTCAATGGTGGCAATACATCATTTTTGTATGCGCATCAGAACCGGGCGATTCGACTATTGTGGAAGAGGAACATTTCTGAGTAATTTGTTTCATTGGTTGCTCTCGTTGCCGGTCGGAAACATTGAAATCAGTGAGAGCGACACAGCCGTTTATTGAAAGGGAGATCGAGTTCGCTTAATTTATAAAACCCAAATATTTACTTGACTGAAACAAAAACCAAACTAACAACTGAAAAACGAAACAGAACAGCCAGAGCGAGGGCCCGCAACATTTTTGTGGGCTCAAGTAATGAGACAACTCGAATTCAGTAGTCGAGTTAAGCGATACAAACCGGAATGGTTGGGTTCGGACTGTGAGTCATTTGGGTTTTTGCAAAATTAGTTTGCATTTTGTCAATGGGGGAAATGAAAACCGTGAGGCCTTTAGATACTCTTTCTGTCCACACTATGATCTCAAATGTTTATAATTTCAATGTGCCAACATGTTATTTTGTCTTTTAGCTATGGATGCCACAAAGCGCAAGAAACTAAAGTCGCGTAACGTACCACCTTCTCCAATGTTCCAAAAAAATGAAGCCCTGTCGGCTTCTCCTAACCAGCCGAACTCTTGTGAGGCCAAGAAAACCGATCGTAACTATTCCGGGGATCATCTTGATGCCTGGTTGGAGAATTGTTTACGCGATGCTACCAACGCCCAATTGTCTTCTTCATCTGAGTTTTTGGACTTCATACCGCCCACAGCACCGGCTCACAAGCAAATGTTTCTGACTCAACAGCAGCAGCTACCGCAGCTTAAACAGCAACTACAGCAGCAGAGGCAACAGGAATTTTCAAAGCGTACTCAGCCGTATGAAGTGGGTCCAGGCACGCCCTTTAGCATGGGGATACAGCGCGTGAGTAGATGCTATTAAAAAATCTACATTTTGTGTACAAATATTTACAAGGCACGGCAAACAAAATGTTCTTCTTACAGAACTCGAACTCTCTTAGTCATCGATATCCGATGTTGTTCCCACCCCAGAGTGTTAACAGCTATGGTATGTCCTACGGCGGCGATGGTGGCCAGGAGTTTGCAAGCTTGCCTCCCCTAAACAACATGGTTGGAGGGCCGGAAAGGCTTGGGTCCGAGCACGAACAGAATTCCACGGATGTGCTGGATGGCAACGGAAGCAATCCCAACCTTAGCAAAGGGTAAGCAAAAACCATGAGTTCGTAATGATCTATTAAAGAGCCGTACTTACACCTGCGATAACAGATTTCGGTTCAGCGATCCGTGCCTCCTGAACCCCTCCGATGATTCCAAGCTGAGTGGTCAGAATACACCAGAGTGTCGAAATGTCAACAACAATGGCAGTGGCTGTGACCTCGCACATCAAAACAAATGTTTCGCGGCTCTAATGGAACAAATAAACATATTGCATGACACCAATTCCAAGATCTGCCGGAATTTGCATGATACAAGAGGTACGTAGGCCCTGTCTGCCCTACTGGTCTTAAATAAAAGGTCACATTGCTTCGTTGAAATAGTATTTAAGTTGCACAAATCTCTGATTTTTTAAACTTGTACTCTTATTTCTACTATATTAGAATTGTTGCCCCTCATTTCCTCTTTCTATGTACTCTGTTGCACTTGCAAACCAAATCACAGTTGATATCGAAGCTTTAAAGCACGCTCCTAATAGCCAGCCCTGGGCAGGTGTTGGCTTTGGGGGCATGCGGCACCGTAGAGATAGCTTAAGCGGACTGAGCACACAAAGTCAACCTCTTATTCTTGGCAGTGGATTGGGAGGGACACAGAGCCCAGCGTTCACATTTCATTCAGGTATAACCTAAACGGTACCCCCAGTTTTGTCATGCATAGCGGTGAGTAATACCTTATATTTGCCTCCCATTTTTCAGGCGCTTACACTCCAGGAATGATGACTGATGTCGTGCGGGAGGTGAAGGAGGCAGCGCGCGTACGCGAAGATGCACTGCTAAGTCGGTAAGAAGTCAGAAATGATTAATATTGTTTGAATATTGTTTAGTTTTTGTTCTCAGAGTCAAATTAATGGTTGAAGAACGTCAGTGTTCGTTAAACGAGGGAAATGTCCGAATTCTGAGGGATATTGATGATCTAAAGGTGAGTGCTATATAAATGTGCATAACAGAGCTAAGTATTTGATTTTGTTTGTAGTCCCAAGTAATGCAGTTGCGACTAGAAAAAAAGGAGACTAATAAACGCCTGTCACATCTGGAATCTGAAAACAAGTGCCTTCGCCAAGCTCTGGCCGGTTGCTATAATCGGCAACAAATCTATAACGACATTATTTACGAAAATGAGCGATCCCATGGATACCGAAAGCCATTCCCGAATGGAGGTGGCGCAGGAGATATGGGTTCCGGAGTGCTCGGAGTCCGACGGGCGCAGTCCTTGAACCTGCACTATGGAACGATGCATCAAACGCCTATTCAAACGACGCACTCTTTGGAAGAGGACGACGAAGTAGAAGAGGAGCAGTTGGTAGAGCAAGGCGAACTGGACGGAGAAGAATCATCGCTGACTGGCAACAGCAGGCTATCGTGTTCGAGCATCGGGCTTCAGACTTCCTCCACCTTAACTCTTCACTCGCAGATACCTAAATCAGAACATGAAACAGTTAGAAGCCCTCCCACTTTAGCCCCGAATTCTGAACAGCTCAATCCGGGAACTCCACCGCCATTGCTGCAGCGAAAAAAAGACCACGCTCAGCTCAAGCGGGAGCTCAGCGAAGCGGCCTTCGTACGTAAGGAGACAAATCAACGAATAATTGCGTGGGTGTAGTATATGCTCTGTTCTAAATTTTTAAACTAACCCATCACCGTTTACCTTCACTTGTATGGACATTTTAAAAATATATTACATTAGTCACATTCTATTAATCACCTAATCACCTAAAACTAACTGAGCCAGTAACTTATCTTAAAACTTACAAATTTTGCACTTCTGTTTTTATCTTTCGATGGTTATTTATACTGTGCAACGTTATAGCCTTGAGAAATTGGTTGAACACCTAAGTGCCCAGGTGACCGGTAAGCCAAACTGGAATCCAAACGTATCTGGCACAGCATCTGACCTAGCACTAGCATCGAAATTCAGCGTGGCGGACGGTCCGATAACGGACTTATAGTTTTAGCTACCATCCATCCCAAAAGCAAAAGGGCTGCGGCAACATAATATGTGTGTCACTCACTTATAGCATTTGGATGGACCGAAACAATCACCTCAACGACACTTCACCCTATGTTTCAAAATTATTTATAACTCCATAACGAGCGCGTAAGCCCTAATTTATTAACTATAATGCTTTTATCACGTGTCAACTGTAATTTAAAACAGTTAAAATTCATTGCTTCTTCGCATCGCTAAAACATGTCTACTAAAAATAAGATGTCACTAAATTTTTTAATGAATATGGTCCATATATCAGTTACTTCATTTCCTTTTAATTGATATACATTACACAACAGTGTTTGTATTTTGTGATGGACTTTTACGAATGATTAACTAGAAAAACATGTACCTATCAAAATGAACCAAAATCAAAATTTACTATATACATAGAAGCAACAATGTTAGAACTTAGAAAAATTGAAAAGTTGTCCAATAATGTAAATAACTAACCATATTTGTTAAGTGCCATTTAATTAAACGCAAAATGTAATGTATTTATGTAAATAGACCTAAAAATATACTTTAATAAGCAGATAATAATGCGGTAATATAGTGTTTTAATATCTTAAAGCAATAAAAAGTTACACGTTTTTTTGGATCCTTCTTACATATATTACGTACATATATGCGCATTTATTAAAAACATTCTACCAGAAAACACTCATACACAGGTGCCAAACTAAATTCTAAAACTGTTCCTTTTTTATGGGGCTTCAAGATTCGTCCATCCGTGTAACCGTAGTCGGGCTTGCCTTTGGTTTAGCCAAGTCAGCTCAAATCTTACAACGCATCTATGTACATATATAGAAAAAATAATTGAGAAATCATTTAATACTTAAATAGAGGAGTTACTAACCTACGACTGATGAAATATTGTAATTAAAAAGAAGAGTGAATTCTGAAGTCGAGTTCCCCGACTATCAGTTAGTGGCAACAAAATGTAACAAACTTGTGACGAGAGTATGTCTCTGGAATCTGCGTGCCTAATCTCAACTTTCAATATTTTATAGTTCCTGAAATCTCGACGTTCATACCGGCGGACGGACAGACGGACATGGCCAGATCGCCTCGGCTATTGTTCCTGATCAAGAATATATATACCTTATATGGTCGGAAACGCTTCCTTCTGCCTGTTAAATGCTTTTCAACGAATCTAGTATAACCTTTTACTCTACGGAAAACGGTTATAAAAAGGCTATTTCGTGTGATTTTGTAATGATATAGGAATCAAGGATACGTTCTACATACATTGTGCCGCCATGTCACTGCTGTCGATTCCCAGCATAGCCAACTCGTCAAGCTCCGACTGACGACGAAGCTTCTCACTGTCTGAAGGCGATGCAGCCGGCTGTGGTATTTCTGGGATATCTGCCTGCTTCTTGAAGGCCTTGCTTTTCATCTCATCGTCAAATGACGGCTCAGTTGGAGGCGAATTCGGCATTGGGATATCCTCCGCGTCAATCAGTTTTAAATTTTCTCGGGCGTCAGATTTGCCATTAAAACCCTGCGACTCTTCATTCTTTTTCGAGTTTTGAATAGGTGATTTTTTTGAGACTTCTGCTTCATCGATAGTTACAAGGTGGATACCTTGCTTAGCTAAATCTTGTAGATTAAGCTCACTGAGCACTGCGTCATCCTCAACAATGGTGGTGATAGTCACCTCTGCCTGCTTTTCACTGTTTCCATTTGATGCCTCCATAATCGCTCCGTCGCTGGGGAATATTATGTCAAGCGCTTCGACCAAGTCCTTTGGGAGTTCCCCGTCGCGGGGTTGTGCCGCTGCTCCTAACGGATTCGGTACCAGGTCAGATTCAACTTCATCAATGCCTGGGGGCAAGACGTCCTCGCGGTTTTCGTTGTCATGCTGATCGTCAGCTTCAGGGCCATGAGCGTCACCATCAGAGTCTTCTCCAGGCGGTGGAGGAGGAGGGCAGCTCGTCATTAAATTGGCGAACTGAACGGGATCTGGCATTAGCTCATCGTAATCTACCATCATACCCGCATCAGGATGAAATGGGGGAGCATTGCCAAAAGCATCTTCCATCATTGCCATCTGAATCTGGGCAGCTGTCGGTGCTTGTGGGCGCACAGCTACCTGACTCGTCGTTCCAGCCAATGGGGGAGGTGGTGGAGGTGGCGCCTCCAAACAGCCGTTGGTGTAGACAACAGAAGCATCGTAGTTGGAAGCTGGAACAGACTGCTTTTTGAATACTGGCATCTTACCGATGAAAGGCAGCTTTTTGCCTCCAGGCAAGGAATTGCTATTGGGCTTTGATAATTTTGACTTTCTTTCTGCATCCTTCTTGTCGCGTTTTATATCCGTTTGCTTGCGTTCCGGTACAGTACGGGGACGAAACTCGGAATGCTTGATCACAGGACGCTCTACCCGTTCAATAGAGCGACTACGACTGCGTCGACTTCGGCCCTCACGGGATCGACTTCTTCGGCTGGATCTTATAGGCGAACGGGAGAAGTGCCGACCACGACTGCGTGACCGACGCCAGCGACCACGGTCTCTGTCTCGCTCACGATCCCGCAGGTATCGATCCCGTCCGCTTAGGCTTCGAGAGTAGCTCCGCCGCTTAGAACGTGAACGAGAATGACGTCCTCCACCTCGCCTAATCTTTTCATCATTCGCTTCTGTTGGTACTACTTTATGGTTGTCCTGGTCGCGGCTTCCCTTGTTCTTCAGCCTTCCTTTAAGCTGTTCCAACAGCTTCTTTTCACTCTCGCTTATAACAGGCTGCACATTATTCCATTGCTTGAGCATGGTATCATCCCGTTTCTTTTCATCCTCCTTTTGTTCTTCGACATTGGCGGAAGTCCATTTACCCCGTCCTGAAGCAACTGTGGAATCCTTTATGATTGGTGGCGGAGGCGGCACCACAGACTGTAAAGGCACTTCCGGCTTCAAATTGGTAGGTGTGCTTTCCTGCTTTCTCATGGCCACGCGTATTGATGCAGCAGTAGTTGACTTATCTGATTGACCAATTGGTTGCTGTTCGGTACGACCCTTCTTTGGTTGCTGTCCATTTTCTTCTTCTGACGAAGAGCTATCAGAGGATGACGATGTGCTGTTTGCATCGATTGTACTTCGTTTGCTCTTCTTTCCGTGCTTGCGCTTCTTTTTTTTTTTGTCGCCGCTTTTCGTAAAAACAAACCCAAATATAAAATATATTCCTCTGCGTTCAAATTATTCTTAAGACTCTTACCTTTTTTTTCTTCTTTTTTTGGACGCCTTGTCCTCATCTTTCTTGGTCTTTTTACTCTTGGAATCATCGTGGCCTTTCTGTTGATTCATGGCCCGCTCACGGTTTCCTTGCCACTCCATTTCATAGTTGGGATTCTGATTTATAAATAGCTACAATGGACGGGTATAACAATTAATAAAATATATATATATCGGCGCATGAGCCGAAAAATGTAAGGAAAGCAATTTTAAACCAGAGAGAACGCAATAGTCAAGTTTCCCGACTATCAGATACCCGTTACTCAGCTAGTGGGAGTGCGAACGAGAAAGTTCAACAATTTTTTTGGCATAGATAAATAGAAATAGGCAAGAATAATTATAAAATGAAAAAAATATTCAAAAGTGTAGGCGTGGGATTTTAGGTCGGTTTGTGGACGTGGCAACATTTGAACACAAACTTTATGGAATCATCATTCTTAATCTTAACTTCCAAGCTTTTGTAGTTCCTGACACGATTAAGCTTAGTTAGCTATCTTTGATAGTTCCCAATTCGACGTTTATTAGTCCGGACAAGCGGACATGCCCTTATCGGCCCCCATTAATTTATTAATACTTTATGCTTGGCGTAATATTCAGTAAGTATGAACAATATATTTAAAGCATATACATAGGGTACTTACTTTATTCACATTCCCATCTTAGCAGGATGGCAGGGATAAATTAACTTTTCAAATATAAGCCGATTTGATAATCCAATTTGGACGGAAAATTGACACAAAAGTAAAAGGCAACATTCACTTTTTTAATTTTTTTGCTGTTTTACGGCAATTGTCCCTGGTGATTGCACTTTTAGCACACAAAAGTTTTGATATAACCTTATGTAGAAATGATTTCACGACACAACAACAGCGTTTTGAAAAATCGCAAAAAACGTATCCTCTAAATGGAATGCAATAGAATATGGTTTCTATAAATTATTTTTGGTGGGGAATTTTACTCTCTACTAGCCCTATAAGCTCCATCTTATATTATATTATTACTTTTTTGATTAATTAAATACAAAACCCTGCATAGACATGGTCGACAATTTTTCTTGCAGTAAATATTTCTTGAGAGCTAATTTTAAAAAAGGGTATATTTCACTCCTCACCTGGTATTTATTTGAGTGAAGTCTAGACTTGAGATGAGCGGAAGCGCAGTGCAAGTCTCCAATCCAAACACTGCAGAGCTTGCAAAACCAAGCGTTAGCCGGCACCAGAAATTGCATGCCCCTAACGGGGACGCGCCTGGAAGGTGCGTTGTCAAATGTGGGAAAGGGATCGTGGTCAATACCCACATGCCAGGGAGTTTCTATGGTCTCACGATTCATGTGTTCCTCGGCGTGCAAATGCTTTAAATAGTCTCGAGCAGACTTAGGAAAAACTCCACAGCTCTCACACCAATGCTGCTCGGGATCGAAAAACACAAAATTGTAATTTTGTGCTGGGGCTGGTACTGTCTTCATTTCACCATGTCGCTGCTTTGACTTCATCGACTTTATGGCGCGGTGCTTAAGCCGATTGGTGGGACTACCTACGGCGCCGACTGTCTCTTCCTCATCTTCGTTATCGCCAGACGAATCCGACGCACTACTAGATGATGAGCTGGATTCCGAGCTGTCAGCGGAACTTTCACTGGAGGAGTGGGAGCGGCTACCCTGTTGTTCCGGCTGAGGCTTGCCGTGGAACTTCTGCTTAGAAGGTTCATCATCAACATCTTCGTATCCAATTATGCCGTTCAGCATGTCTATAACGTTTTCAATTGTGTCCAGTTTCTTCTTAATTTGCATCTGTACCAGAAAAAATTTAGTTACATAGAATGACTAACAGATAACGTTTTGGGATTCCAATTCACCTGCAGGCGATCATTTTCTTCGATGAAATTCTTTGTGGTTGGGGAGGGTGGTGCATCGCCGGCTGCCAGGTCCTCGCGCTGGTCCTTAAGTACTTTCATTTCCTTTTTGAGCAGCGTTACCTTTTTCACATAGTTTGTCCGCTGTTTCTTGAGTTCGTCCTTTTGCTTTTCCGCTTCTTGTGCCACGGCTGCCGAACGACGGTATATAGATGGGGGATAAATAGATAGGTTCTAATTAAAAAATATTCTTTCCGGAGTAATAAAAGTTCAAATTTCATTTACAAATGCATTCTCGAGTGCATTTCATCGGCTAATTACACTCGGATGCAGTCGCCGTGATTGCTTGTTCTGCCAGTCCTCGTTGAATGAAGAGCCAGTTGGGGTGACGACGGCGGGCGTCCAGGTTGGCGTAATTGCGTGTTTCGACTACTGCCACACAAAAACGGAAAAACTGCGTTTTCTATTTGAAATGAATTAACATTTCGAGACCCTCGCTCGGGCTGGTCTTGGTTAGTTCTTGCAGCGCATATACTTCTAGATTCTTATTGATCTGATCTTTACCCTAGTTTTTTGGTAATTTCTGGTTTGCGCGCAATTAAGTTACAAGTACAAGTAATCATGACAACAGTAATAAAACATAATGTGAGAGGTTTGCATGTGAATGTTCGTAGTGACCACATTTTAATTCATTTCCACACTTACCGTCTTGAGGCGTCAAACCTGCGCCTTCAAGCGCTGGCACCTTCTGCTCCTCGCCTATCTTCTTGTCAGAAAGAGTTTCGCGGGCCTTCTGCGGCTGGATAAGGGCGTCTGTAGCGGATGCCTGGACCCCGCCCATGGGCGGGTTTATCCAGACCTGCTGACCGTACTCTGCAAAGAATAACATGTTTAATCAATAAAGGGGTTTTGGTTTTAAATGTTTAAAAACTTACCGTTTACGCCCCACGAGCTTGTGGGAGGCGGACCATAGCCAGAGCCAAAAGCGCTTTGGTCAGGCGGGGGACCTGGTATGCCGTACCCCGGTTCCGGAGGTGGAAACGAGCCAGGCGGCAATCCGTATTGGTGACCGTAGATATTTGGTGGAGCAACGTATGATCCATACATATGAGCCATAGTTCCATAGCCGGGAGTCATTTGAGGAGGTGGTCCTCCTTGAGGCGGCACTGTCGGCGACGACGGCTTTTTTTTTGGTGACCAGCGACCTCCCCGTCGGGGTGAGATGCTGCGGGTTCGGGATCGCCCGTACCGGCGGCCTCGTCGTGGCGGAGAGCGTCTGCGTTCGGGGGAGCGCCGCCGATCAAAGCGGCGTCGGGGATACCGCCCATAATCGGGCGAATCGTAACGACCACGACGCGGTGGAGTCAGCGAGCGGGACATGGAATGTCTTCGCCGAGTGTTTGACGGCGAGGTGTTGCGGGAATCCGACCGCCCACGGGATGTGGAACGGCGCCTGGAACTCGACTTTCCGCGCTTTCCCGACCCACCGCTCCTAAGCTCACAGTTCTCGTTTCCGCTTTTCTCGTCGACGCCGGGTGGCCCTGGGGGCAGATCAAGATCGACTGCTTTCCCGAGACGCCTATCCTCCAGCTGTATCGAAGCCGAGTCTTCGTCCATCTGACAGCCGGAAAGTGTCTTTTTGACTTATAAGCGCTATTTTGGCGTAAGATAAACAGCAGATCGGTGTTTTTCTAGCAAATTCCGAAATTACGTGTGGGTAGCGAAATGGTGCAAAGCAGGCGAGCCCGAACATATAGTTATCGATACTATCGATGCTGTCACGTAGTGGCCAACATCAATAACTGAGCTACAATCGAATATTTTGACTAAATAGCCTATTCACACCAGAGGCAAAAGTCAAAGTAATCGGTATGAAGTGTCATTTGCACTTCTTTTTTTACAATTTAGTCAATTGTGATTTCTCAAGGAATGTAGAAAAACGAAAAGGAACATAAATGTCCTCCTACATGTTAAACGTACTAACACCAAATAAATTGTTGATATTAACGTACTCATAATGTGAAATATATTTTAAAATATGCACAATTGGCGGGGAATGACCCGAAATAATTTCAGATAGATTTCCAACCATCAGCAATTTTATATTTTAATGCACTTTAAATTAGCTGAACGTGAGATTTGGGCTGCTCACCAATGCAAGTTGCTAAACCTACATTTTCTTTGTCGTTGCACTAAATGATTTCGTTTTGAATTAGATTGAGAAGGTTTTCCTGTTAAGAACACGCTTCTAACACACTTGATTATAAGCGACTTATATTTTTTATTTTATCCAATATTTTATATATGTAGTATAAAACAATACATTTTTAAATAGAAAATTGCGTGACTCATTGTAACAATTTTAGTTTGCCCAGATTGTAGTCAAGGGCAAGCACTGCTATCTACTTCTTCCTCTCTCGAGTGTTTACATTAATGCCAATTTATAAAAGCATTTTCTAGTAGTAGCTGCACTTGCATACTATACTACTGCAACAATGTAACTATAAAAGGCTTCGAGAACTTCCAGTAGACCATAGTTTTTCGAAAGATGAAGGTTCAGCTCGCTTTAACCGCCCTACTCGTGATTTCGTGGGGCCTTGCCCTTGCCTACGATGGTGACGGACAGCCAGGTTGCAAGACTCAAGCCGAGCTAGAAATTTCAGTTTTCCGCAACAATTGGGATCCCACATCGTACTGGAAGTGTGAGACACTTAACCAACCAGCAGTTGAAATAAAGTGTCCCAGCGAAACAGGATTTATGGATAGTCTCAAGAACTGCGTAAACTGGGAGAAATGGGAATGGGAAATACCAGTGGAGCCCATTAGCGAAGCGGACCAGGACGAGTGACCAAACGCACAAAAATAAGAACAGCTAATATTATTATTTATGTTGTTGAATTGAGAATAAAAGAACTGCGTTACGGATGGCTTACGCAGAAATATAAATTCAGATGGTAACGAAAGCTGCAGAATCGAGATTTAGTCGCGCGTGCGAAGACCCCAAATGGAGGTACGTCGCGTGCCAACAGTCGGGCGAGACACCGAACTGTGAATGAATTTGTTTATACCCATTTTTGGAAGTTGTTTTTCAAGGACTTCCATCGCAGCGTCCGACAGCATCCCAAATATGTCTAAATAGGTTAGCGAGGGCATACTCTTAAGTTCACTGCAACGAAAATGTCGGAGTAGAGACAAATCATACGAGAGCTCGAAAATGCTTACATAAATTTGGTTGCAGGAATAAGATAACATCGGGAGACGGACAAGTATTCCAGCATCTTGAATTTCATAATTGAAGTAATTACTGTTGGGGTTAGACTATTGCAATCAGATAGGTCAAGCTCTAACAACTGAGGGCACCGATTTTGCAGCGATGCAACATCTAAAGAAAATATTTTTAAGCCATTAAGGGACAAGATCATTATTAGTCGACGGGAACTACTTACGTGAGTCAAACAAAACGCGGCGACAGCCAGCGATATTCAGCCGAATTACATTGGGGGAAATGTGGGTAACCAACGCCGTGACAGCATCCGCACTTAGGTCAGTCCACGATATGTTTAAGCTGCTTAGGTTGGTAAGGGACTCCATCATAAGACGAACACTGTTGGCCGTTAGGCCGGTAGCCATAGTCAGATTGACCGCTTCCAAAGCTTCATTCTTTGCGATCTCTGCACAGATGGTGTCATCGAGCTCAGTATTCTCTAGGCTTAATTTCTTTAGTTGACGACATTGAGACAATAGTATGAGCAGTGAGCTTCGTGTGATGGAGGCCATACTCAGGTCGAGATATTGTAGTCGCGCTGAAAAACCTTCTGTTAATTGTGCGAATGCGGGTTCCTGGATCTACAGTACAGAGATTAATTAAACCAATGCTCTTGTTCTCAGAAAAAAAAAAATTTTAGCTGTTACTTACACTAGCCTGGGCCAGACGTATTACAAGGACTCCCCGCCTAACAATTTGCTCGAGGGCACCTGGTCTAATGGTCCGCAAGCCCAAATCCAGTCTCGTCCACAAAGTCTCATCGCGGGAGCAGCGGTTAAAGCGTCGACAAACGGTTGCAATGCGCAGCAGCGTCTTCTTTGGGAGCCACTTAAAGATGTCCAGTAGTATTTCGTCTGAAAGTCTTTCGAAGTAGTTTATGCCGCTGCTGATGTGGGCACTCATGGCCGGGGTGCGGAACACAAAGAAACTATCCCTGGGTATCATTCGGGTTGGGATCTGTGCTGTCGAGGGCTTTTTTGCCTGGCGAACTTGCGCTAACCTGCTGGTTGATGGCTGAAAATTGAGCGAAGCCGACCCATCAATCTGGTTGTTACAGGTGACTGCAGCCAGGGGGTTGCGTAAACGTTTGCTGGGCGAGTTTGAATTGCTGCTCCCTTCAGAGCCTAACGCCGGGCGCTTGGCCTGCGCCAGAATCTGGAGCGCCTCGGGCGATTGGCGGCCCATCGACAGTGAATCCTCCACAGCATGGCTGTCCAGTGTGGTATCCCCCGTAGAACCCAGGCTTAGCCGTTGCGAGTGCTGTAGCTGGTGCGCTATGCGAGGCACACTGGCGTACGGAGTCGTCTCGTTGGAGTTGTCGTCGCTGGTGGCACTAGCACTAACAGCCAAAGCGATGGCTGAGAGGGCTGAAGAGCTGCTTTCTTCGGAGTCCAGCATTCCGATTCCCATCTCTTCTAGGGCCTCAAAAGTAAGTGCCGAGGGCGAGGAAGGGTGCTCGTAATGCGATGACTTCGTGGTGGAAACTAGTGCGCCCACAACAAAGACGGGGTTCTTATTGGTCGAGCGCTTTCTGCAATAGTCGGGCATTGGTCAAAACTGTGCAGTTCGATCGTGCTTCATCAGCACGGGGTCAAGAACCGTGCAATTTATTAAGTTACTTTCTTGACCTCGTTTGAACACTTGTGGCGCGTGTGACGTCACGCGAGCAGCTCAGTGTTTACTTGTCTGGCCTTAAATCCCAAGCAAAGAAAAGCTCACCTGGTCACCGGGCACAAATTTTCCATATTTTCGGAGCCTCTGTGTTTGCGACTGCTCATATTTACACGATATCCACTATTTTTCACCGCCGTAAACACAAAAACTTCGCGCTATTTTTGCAGGGAACCAGGGCTGTCGAATCATTTTGGTATGGGAATTGTATCGTTATCGAATATACCAGACGTGCCGTGGTTGCCAGACCAAATCCAAAATTATTGCTAGCGTACGCTTTGAGAAAAAATATCCGTTTAGTCTTCTCTGTCGAGAAAAAACAAAGGCAAAACTGTTTATAACAATTGCTGAATTGTACAACAATCAGTTGTTCCGTGAAACAAAGACTATATTTGCAATCGGTCGCGCCAACATAATCATAAAAGGGTATGTGTAGCGCTGAAAGGCCACTGGCCTTGGTGTCCTCCACTTAGTTGCCTGACTTTCTTCGCTGCAGCTGGAATCTGGCCCTAGACTCTCCTTAATGGTGAAAACAGCCTAGCTCCAACCCATCCCACCGGTCTTCCACGAGCACTATTAAGATGAGCTTGCACACACGTGCGTTAGTCTTCTCCACCTTCTTCGGAAGCTGCCTGGCCATCGGCCTCTTGCTCGTCAGCATGACCACTAACCACTGGGTGCGGGCCACTCCACGCCGCAAGAACTCGGCGGACGCCAAGGGCGAATTCAACTTCGGACTCTTTTTCGGCAGCTACCACCTGAATCCTGGTTTTGGAGTCCGCACAAATTCTGTTAATGGTGAGCAAACAAAGGAGCCGGGGATAACAGGGTACACTAGCTAGAGGGTGATCCACCCATTACCTGCTTTACGAATTTTTTTCTGTAGACTCCTTGGAATTCGTTTTGAATACACGATTTAGGGTATGTGAAGATTATTAGGGCACGTGTTTGTTGATTACCTATATACATATATGTATCTTTAAATTATAAAACTAACTTTAAGCTGATTGTCCTGGGTGACCCTGCTGTTGGAAATATGTTTATTATACCCGTTATACTTTACTACTAGATTCGTTGAAAAGTACGCTACCGGCGTTTCCGACCCTATAAAGTATATATTCATTATCAGTATTACTAACCGAATCGATCCGTATGCATGTTGAGATCTCAGGAACCATAAAGGAGAGATTAAACATGCGGATTCTATAGACATAGATACAGCGCAAGTCTATTTACTGATGTTGCCACGCCCACCCTAACGCCCACATGACGTCCAAAACTGAACCCCCCATTTTTGTTTAAGAGTTTCGATTTTTTTCCGTGTATGAACAAATTTTTTATTTTAAAAAAGGTGATTTTGTTTTTCCAATTTCCATCAATATGCCATAAAAATGTTGGAATTCCTCGTTTGCAATCCCACTAGCTGGGTAACGGGTATCTGATTGTCGAGGAACTGGACAGAAGCGTTCTCTTTTCTTTAATTTTAATTTAACTCAATGAACTCATGCTTCGAATTTTGAAGTTTTGTTTTTAAACATACACAACTCCGACATCCTTATAAGATGGCAAAGCACTTATTAACAATCAAAAAATACTACAAAATTCATTCAAATAAAATAAATGTTCGCAAATCAAAGACTCAATTACTACATTGTCATATATTGTCCACACCCAATAAGCGGGATAAATATTGACACATGAGCAGTGCATGTTTGCTTTAAACGCTGGCATACCCAAAAAAAAATTAAAATTATGTATGTATGTACTTATTCTGCTTATGTGTTGCTTATTAATAATCAAACAAGTGATAATGTTGATCATTTTGTTAGCTTTCTGTTTATTTATTCCTGCAATATTGATAAACAAATTTGTTATATTCAAAAAAAGTTGCAACATTTTTCTGGCATATCGATAGAAATTTGGGGAAAGAATAGTAAAATGAAAAGAATTAAACAAATTTTTCAAAAAATGGGCGGGACAGTCTTGGTCGGTTTGTACGCGTTAGAATGGGCGTGGCAAAAGTGTTTTTGGTATGCCGATAGAAATTGGCAAGACAAACAGTAAAACGAAGGAAAATCAAAACATTTTCCAAAAGTGTGGGCGGCTTGTGGGCGTTGAAGTGAGTAAACAAACTTCCTAGCTTTTATAGTTCTTAAGATCTCAACGAAGATCTAACGGACAGACTCGACTATTGATCCTGATCAAGAAAATATGTACTTTATGTGGTCGAAAAAGCTTCCCTGATACATACCTTGCAACGAATATAGTATACCCTCTTACTCTACGTGTAACGGGTATAAACGGGTATAGCTGCGTCTATGCAGCTTTTGGAGATCAAAATATAAAATTTAAAAGCTTTTAAGTAGTTAAATCGTCTATAACCTTCGTTATTTTGCTTGGTATTTTTAGTATACAATTTTGTTCGGACAGAAAATGGCGACACCAGCTTCTGGCTCTGGCTACTGACCACCTTAGGCACCGGCTTCGGACTTCTGGCCTGCGCTGTGGCCGCAATCGCCGCTGTTCTTAAGTCAGCCTCTGCCGCCAAAAGAGGAGGCGCAATGATGCTGCTCCTGACTTCCAATATTTTCGCTGCGGGGGCGCAAATTGTGGCGTTTGTGGCTTGGCTGGTGCAGTTCTACCAATACTTCATGTACAACGTTCTTTTAACCGAGCACCAGCAGCAGCACTGGTACAGCAATGGACTGGCATATCTGGGTTACAGCTTCTACCTGGTCTTGGTATCCACCGTTGTGGTGCTGCTGAATATCGCAATCCTGATGTACGCCCAGCGACGCGACCACCACGACCGCCAATGCCTGGAGGCACCAAGTGACGATAAAAACAAGGCCGCCATAATGCTGTACTAAGGGAGACGAGAATAATTCCAAAATGAACCTCTACAAATCTGCTTGGCAAACGTACGAGCAGCGACACCTAGTAATCTCAGTGGCTCAAATACTTGTGCCTTACTTAATGATGGGTTTACCTTGCCAACTGAAATGGTCGCCTATATACTCATTTCAATTTATGGTGTATTCGGTTAAATAAGCGTACAATGACATCGTCTGGTCTGCTGATCTTTCGGAATAAGAGAACCTGAAGCGAACAGCACTGCCAACACCTTCTCATATTTATATACCTTTTACATATGTACATCAATATACTCGAATGTAATTTTTCTATACATGTATTTACTGCCATCGGCAGCCACGTATTTTTAAGTGCATATTTACAAATAAAGCAACAGTCATTCTTAAAAAATAGAAAACTCGAGCGGTTTGTTTACTAATTGGTCCATCAGACCGGAGCTACCCTAGGGGAATTGGGAATTAGCTCATTGGAAGAGCACACGCTACACTTCCGCATAGTAAAATCCAGGAACTCAAAGAACAAGTAAATTAAAAAAGGACCGTGTGTCAAATCGCTGATGAATTGTCCAAGAATCTTGCCTTTTCCCAAATGTCAAAACATTTCTTGGGTCGGAAACAGCCCGGACCTCACAGTGAGCGCAATATCCAAATGTCATTGCATTCAATTTCGCAAAGAAATCAATTATCTATTTTCTGTGAGAGTAAATGAACATTTCTGTTTCTTTTCCGGGACCTCTGACGGCTCACAAAGAACGCGGCACCTTCGGTTGCAGCAGATAGAGCCAATGATGTCATCATTAGTTTAATTAGTTTTCAGAGCTCATGTTGATGGGAAAACGGTTCCGCACTTCCGGCACCACCTACTGTTTGCTTTTGGGCCCGATGTCCTGCTGGGTAACTCTCTGTTGTTTTGGTCAGTTCTTGGTGTGATGCTGTGACATTGCGCAAATTTTATATAAGCGTTTTTGATTGAATCTTGATCGCTGCCACCTTTGCGGGCGATAAACAACGGGCACTTTTCTTTCTGGCCGGCGACTCACCTCAGTAAACAGCTTAGGACCACGTGTGGGGATTTGGGCAAACCAGGCGTTTCTACTATCTGTGTATTAAAGGCATTATGCAAGACCCGGCGTTAGGATTAAACCGCAAATTGCGTATATACTCAGACACCGGGCTCATTAGGTGCGGAGCTCGAGCTGGGCGAGATTAGGAAGCGGACAATCAACTTATTGTGAGTGCTTATGTAGATAAGCCGTCGTTTAGCGGTTTCGGGACATACCCAGTCTTCCGCCTAGGATCTGCGGGCAGACCCCTGGAAAATACGATCGCAAACCGCTACAGCCGGAGGAATATCGTCGATCTGGGATTCTTGAGCAAACTCAGAAATGCCAGAGGCAGCCTATGCAAACATAATTAACTGGAAAGTTTCATAATCGAATGCAGGAACTCATTAATAGAAATGCCAAAGAGGTCACCACCCACGTTGATGCCGTTTACTACTGGGGACAGAGGGGTCTACTCCAGCTCGGTCCGCTTGTTCTCTTGAATTGGACCTTAGTTTTTATAGAACAAGATTCCTCTATACATATAAAAAGCATTTCCAGAACCGCAAAACAAGCAGGCTCAAAAACTATGTTGCTGTTGCTCCTGACGGCTAATAAATTTCTCAATTAAATGGATCCTCTGACAAGTCCTACAGAAGGCTTCTACCCCTCCTGCCCCTTGGTGGGCGCTGTCCCGCTTGCTCTCATTCATTTCTGTGCAAGCCACAAGGGATGAGGGTTGCTGAGCCAAGGGATGAAAATTAAACAGTCATCACAGCACTGACTCTCCTGAGGAGAACTGGCGCTGAGAAAGGTAGCCGACTCCATTTTTTATTTCGACGCACTCTTTGCTCGTTTCGATCCTTGGGGTTTCGCAGTGCTTCTATTTCAATTTCTATTGTAGCATTGCGAAATTATGGCCCGTATATTTCTCTATTAGTGATACAAAGGACAATTCAATTCCTCGGCATGGGCGCTGTGGGTGGGCAGGATAGTGTCACTGATGGTCCTGTCAATTAGCTCCTTGCGAACTTTCTGCGGACCACCCGAGGAATCTTGACTCTTGTTTGGCCTCTTTGTGGTTATGAATGGAAAGTGTCCTATATTGTTTCACAATGTCAGGAGGTTATAGATAGCCAAACTACTTTCTTGTTAGAAAATAATTTCTTTCGATCTCATATTGTTTGTGCAACAATGCAGTATTATACGGAAAAATCTAGAGCAATTTTGAGATATCTTGCGTTTAAATTATTAATTCTGGGAAAAAGTATTTTATTACTTGTAGACCTAAAACATTAACTGCGTTCAATTTGTTTATACTATTTTGCTGATAAAACAGTACCCATGAGGTACTTTTAACTTTTTGTTGAGTATTTAGATTATCAGATTATAGTTAATGAGCTTACCACGCAGGCTTAATAATAAAATGACGTTTGAAATTTGGTTAATTTATTAGTTAAATAGATGAAGTTTTTTGGCAACACTCTTTTAAAAACAAGAGAGAACGGTATATTTGAGTTCCTCGACTATCGGATACCCGTTCTTAGCTAGAGGGAGTGCGAAGTATAAACTTCAAATTTTGTCGATGTTTTTGGCATATTGATACAAATTGGAAACTAATTGGAAAATAATACAATTAAAAAAACAACATACAATGCTATAGTCGAGTTCCCCTTCTATCAGATATCTGTTACTCAGCTAGTGGAAGTGGAAAAAAATATACATATATATCAATTTTCCAAACGGCTTGACAGTTTAGGACGGCGGGGGCGTGGCAAAACAATTTTTGGCAAATCGATAAAAAAAATTAAAGAATAATAAAAAATGAAAAACAAGAAAGAATTTATTGTCGAGTTCCCCGACTATCAGATACCCGTCACTCAGGTAGTGGAAGTACAAATAAGAAATTCCATAATTTTCTGGAGTATCGGTAAAAGTTGGGAAAATAAATAAAAAAATTAAAAATTTTTCAAAAGTGTGCATGTTCCAGTTTTGTGAGCGGTAAAGTGAGTGTGGCAAAACGATTTTTGGCAATGGATAGAAACTTACAAGTGTAATAAAAAATGAAAAAATGTCAAAACATTTTTTAAAAGTGTGGGCGTTAGAGTGGGCATGCCAACATAATTTAACAAACTTGCGCTGTCTCTGGAATCTGCATGCCTAATCAAAGTTTTCTAGCTTTTATAGTTCCTGAGATCAACGCGTTTATAAGGACGGACGGACATGGCCAGACCGTTCGGCTAGTGATCCTTATTAAGAATGTATATAGATTATAGGGTCGGAACGCTTACTTCTACCTATTAACGTACATGGGGAAGAGTTAAAAAAAATATCACTAAAAGAGTAACGAATCTCTATGTATTAGAATATAAATATACAAAATAGTAAATGTAAATTATACAAGAACGAAAGCTAAATAACATCGAAAACACAATTGTTTGCTAATATTTTCAATTAATATTCCGACAATTATTGTCATATTTACGATATCTTACGATTTTCATTAAATTAAAATTATATAATATTATTATTACAAGTGTATACCGAATTAGAACGCGTTTAGAACAAAACTAAATAAGTTAGAATTTCTCTTTCATTATAGTCGACCGAATTCGAGAAAGTTAAAGCCAAACAAATTCATTGTTGATAAATGTGTGTGTACCAAATAAAAGCAACTATTTGTATTGCAAATGTTTGATATTCTGGTCTAATCCGGTCCGTTTCGTCTATATACTTCCTGCATTAGAATGAATACTTATGCGAAAGTTTCACGCTGTTTTCTTTAAAATTCGGAGACTAGTTTCTCCGCAAAGGGACAACGCGCTATCGAATCGGCAATTGATTCTGATCAAGAATATATATACTTTATATGGTCGGAAACGCTTCATTTTATATGTTACATACTTTTCAACGTATCTACAAGAATCGGAAAATGTATCTTCATTTTTATACATTTGTTTCCTTTCTAGCGCCCTTTCTAGCTTAATACATTGTACTACCACGCCCACATTTTTGAAAATTAACAAAAAATGTTTTCAATTGCTACCGACATTCCAGAAAATATTGCAATTTCTCGTTCGCACGTGTAACTGGTATCAGATAGTCTGGGACCTCGGCTATAGCGTTCTTTCTTGTTTAAATCATAGTTTAGATCCTATTCCATACATATTTTTGGATAATGTTTCAATATTAGACGGGTTGGGTGCGTATGAATTAGCACAACAAAATAATGGTTTACGTTTCGGTCGTAAAAGCCATAATCAGAAATTCAGAAATGCTTTCCTCTACCTGTTACCAGAAATCAATCAATTCCAACTGCCGGCTTATTAATTGCCAGGTTTCACGCTCGGTTTCGAGGTGATATACATAAAATGATCTTGAGAAATGATTGTTTGAACTTGCTGCAGAGAGGGGTCTCTAGTGTTCGCCCAAGAAGTTTTAGGTGCGGGGTGTATTGGGAGCAAGAAGTCAAAATTGTAAAGGATCGAATGGAGAGGGCATAGATCACTGTGTCACTTGTGCGATGTGAACGACGACGCATTGTCTGGCCGGTATGAAAATATTCTCAGTCTCGCAGGAACAATAAGCAGGTAGGGGACAGGTAATGTAAGGACTGCACGCCCCTATAAAGCGGACAAATTCTCGATTGTCCGTAAGGATGGGTGTCCATCTAGAGCCGCTTTCATAAACTGCACACATTGTCCGTTTGTAGAAGTCACACTGATAAAGACCAGAAATCGATCGCTGTTCGCACGACGAATTCCGAAAAAACATAGGTAATTTTTCGACTTCTCGCAGACAGAGTGTCTAGGACACTTTGCTCTGGTGAATCACTGCATTGTTCTCTGAATGACGCAAGTTGTCAGGTGAGTAATGGCGAATCTACGTGGAGACATCTGGATCGGAAAAGGACTGTGGGAAAGATTGCCAGCGACACCACTGCACTTTTTCACTTAGTTTCGGTGCTGATGCTGAAGGACAGTTTCTGCCCATTGTCGTGGTTTGGCCGGTTGCTGCTCGTCTGGGCTGCTGTTTCATTTTTGCTAATTTGTGAATGAACCTCGGATGGATTCGGACCAAATGACTTGTGCATTTTAATCCTTTTATGACAGAGCAAATGGGATTTTCCGAGCTGCTTTGATATTGGCGGCATGACAGGCGGTTTGTCACATGATCTGGTTAGCGGGAAGTGACAGTGGATCATTAACATGTAGATAATGGTTCTTGGCCAAAAGTCCCTAATAATGCAACTAATGCATCAAATAATTGGTGTACAAATTTGTGAGTTTTATGTACACTTTGCCTCATTTCTAGCACCGCCCAAGCAATAGCGTACAGATTTTTTGTATAGTTT